TTCTGACTTACTAAGTCGCAATTCTGAGATGCTAAGTCGCAATTCTGAGATACCATAGCGCGTTTTTTTTTTCCTTCCTGGCGGAAACGGGCTTCCATAGTTCAGCGTATCACTGACTGTGACACAATAATGATCTTTATGAAGTTAGGAATGGTAGTATAATATAAAAGTTTAAGTAGGTAACTGCATCAGCATGTGTAGGATGCCAAAGAACAGGTAAAGATTTATTACAAACTGAAAGAAAAAGAAAGGAGTCTGAAACCCGAAGCTCCACAGCCAAAACATTGTGTTCCTTTTCTTCTCTTTTCAACATGGAATAAACGTTTACTTGTTCCTCCACAGGCAAAACGTCGTGTTTCTTTTCTTTTCAGCATAGTATAATATATATATGAGTAAAGTTTAAAGATTTTTTGTGTGCAGGAGACTAAACACTGTCTACATGTTGTACACAATTACATATAAGTATATATCGATAAGACAGTTAAAGGACTGTTTTTACATTTTATTGATGTAATGTGTTGTTGAATTTCACAACAGCAGCATTTACTGCATTTTCTTTTCATACTGGGTTGTAATAATTAAAGTGCAACAATCGAGATTAGTTTTTTGGTGTTTTATATGTTCTGACTGGAAGATACTACTGGAATACAGCCCTATACAGTAAAAAGCGCTTTTAAAGTAGTGTTGTAGCCTGCTCCTGTGTTACCTCATCTGAAATTCAGTGGAGGGTATTTTAAGTTGTCCTAATTAAAATCCATTAATGCTTATTCTTTAGCAAGTAATTAAAATTCTACTGTTTACTTTCTGTGCAAAGAATGTTTGTCCTTTTTCTATAATGTCAAAAGATTGTCACCTTTTTTTTCTGGTTCCCAGTGGACTCTGGAGGAGCAAACTTACCAAGACAGGCTGATGTCTTCCCAGATCGGGATCACTTCGGACGCATCTTCTACAACCAGGCACGCCTGTCCTCTAAAGGAATCGCACAGGTAAAAATGTCTTGAGGCCAGAGTGAAAATATAGGTTGTGCTAGTTCCATTTTATGTCCATGGGATTTTTTGAGAGTTTCTAGTAAATCTGTATTCTGATTTCTGACAGGGTGTAAAACCAGTTTATGGTACTGGTACACAGTAGGCAGTGTGAACACAAAACATATATGGCCATATATATATGTGTGATACTGGTCATAATGATTTAACTGAAGGTCATAGAAATGAATCCCATAGTATACTTATGTACTATCCCATTCTGCTCCCACTGTTACTTTTATTGTCTGCCCTAATCAATACAGAGCAGGAATCTTCCAATTGCCGCTTTCCTGCTTCCAGATAGCTGTCGTTATGGGATCCTGTACAGCAGGGGGAGCTTATGTTCCTGCCATGGCTGATGAAAGCATTATAGTAAGGAAGCAAGGCACGATATTTCTGGGAGGTCCTCCACTGGTAAGTTTAAGCAAGCTTTTGGTTTCAATTACTGTACTTTCTTTAATTTCTGTTGATCTAACTTGGCATTGTTTCGCAGCAAGTCAACGATACCCTGGCTGACTGAAACCTACTCAGATACAGTGGCACTTGGTAAATTATGAGTACTGTTTTGGGAATCGCAGTCTGGGAGCCGGTATCTATCCATCCATTTTCTATTCACTTCTTCCAGTTCATGGTTGCAGGAGGCAGGGTACACCCTGGACAGGACACCAGTCCATCACATGGCAGACAGACACAAACACAGACATGTGCACACTCACACTAGGGCCAGTTTTCTCAGATGCCAATTAACCTACAGTTAAGGAAGAAAACTGTAGAACCCAGAGGAAACCTCACTTGAACACAGCGAGAACATTCAAACTTCGCAGCGATATTACTCCAGGACTGGCATTGAACCCAGGGCCCTAGCAGCAAAACAAATTTAAAAATTTGTCCTGGATGTAAAAATTCGGCATTAACAGAAAACTGAATCACTCCAATCATTCCAAACCATACTATAGAGGATCATTTGACCACACTGTCCTTGTCTTCTAACTTGTAGTCTGGGTTTAGGGTATTGCAAGTCAAACTAAATAAAGTGTCTATACAGTATATGCCTTTGTGATTCTTAAAAAAAAAAGTTATTAAAAAGTTCTCAGAAAAGTAGAAGGAAAGTTATTTAAAAATGATGGGATCTGATAGACTAGACTGATCAGTAAACATGGAGGCATTTCTTTCCTTAATTGCAAGACAGATCGATACAAGTAGCAAAAACCACATTAGTTTGTGAATATTGATTGCCCTGTACTCCATGTTACACAGACCTCTCATCCTAATTAGGAAAAGCCTACTTTGTCTTTTGTAAGCTGTGGATTGTGAAATAAGTGGAAGACCATGAATGCATACTGCACATTTTAGTGTTCAGTCTCTAAGAAGCCTTCAGAGTTGTTTGTTAGACACATTTTTGTAAGTAGTAATGTAAAATACTGAAAACATACAGTGAATGTGTTGACAAGTCATTTTTAAAGTTTTTAACATTTTTCTGTATGGAGGCTTGTCCATTTTCAATATTTTTACAGCACACAAACTACAGTTAATGTTCCATTGCTGTTCTTTTTTAATCCTTTTTTTATTATGCCAGAGCTACCTAAGCATTCAATTCTACACGATTCAGTTGGAATGTTAGATTAGTAAGCTTTTTTTTACAAATCAGATAAGCAAGACAGAATGGAAATGTTGTTTAAACAAGGATCATGTTTTAATTATTAATGATTGGGCTTTTTACATTCCAGTAAATTTTAATCTTACACTCTTAAAAGGTTTTAGAGGCTTGTCTTCTGACCTTTTCACCCCTTTCAACGAATGATTTTTTTTAAAACAAATGCTTTTGCTTTCCTGCTTCATAGAATGTCAGAGGTAGAATTGCTGTGTTAACAACTCTGGGATGTGAGTACTAACAAGCAAGCAAAAGTATCATTTTAAATACTCTTGACACACGTCTGAAGTCAGCAAGGCATTGTTTCAGAAGTGCTTATTTGATGGCTGTGTTACTATAGGCTACAAGGCCTATATCCACTCTGCAAAGGTCTGAGGTTGGGAAGAATAGCGCAACTGGTCTCACAGGCGATGCTTTGGGTTCACATAAGGGGGCTGTGACGAGTGTGGGAGTAAGTGTTGGAAAATTAATTGTGTCCACCAGTTGTGCTAACAATCAAATGAGGTTTGGTTGCATGATATTGTTCACATAGTCTGGGGCAGCGTGACTACCATATATGCCAGAGGTACATAATTCAAGTCCTTTACTTGTTCCTGTATATATTTATGTCTGTAACAAAATGGTTGGAAATACATATACATACAGTATGTTCAATTTTCAGAATACCACTTATTGCTCTTTACAGAGAATTAATTATGGATAAAGGTGGACGTCAGTCTGTTGAAGTGTGCAGCTGAAGTTAAGCTCTTCATTTCCAAACACTAATTTTCTTGGTTTTCTGTATCTTCCAATTTCTGTCTCCACCTATTAATTAAGTTTGTACTGTGCGTTGTCTTCAGTAAAGGGACAAAGCAGATCAGTGTTTGTTTTACTTTTTGGAAAATTTGTCCTCTTGTGTTCAGTAACATTATATATCCACAGCTCCTTCATCCAACCTGTAAGAGTGATACTGTGGTTTTTCTCAATGCTCTATCAGCATTATATAATGTCTGCTGTGTCTTTGTCCAAGATTAAAGCTCTTTTTTTGTGCTGCAGGTGAAAGCTGCAACTGGTGAAGAAGTGTCAGCTGAAGAGTTAGGTGGTGCGGACCTCCACTGCAGGTTAAACATATTTATTTTACAGTTTTTTAAAAAGTCTTGCTCGATTTAAGGCACATTTCTACTTTCTTTTTTGCCAAACATCTAAAAGAAAGAAATTCAGTTATTATCCTGTTTGATGCTCAGCTTGATCTTTGTCTACAGTAAGTTTAACTACAGTATATGCGCCTTATTGAAGATGTCCTTTGTCATTAAATGAATGTGTGCAGTGGCATGTTTTATCTGAGGAGTCAATATCTTTTTAACTGGATTTTTTCCTGGTGACTTTTAATGTGCATGTTACTGATTTAAATTAATCTGATTTCATGGCACATTTTGAAAGGACTTTGTTCTAGTCTGCAGAAACAAGATCCCATTACATCTTCTGCACTTTCGAATAGTGCCTATAAAATGTTTGTCACTGATTTGTATGTACAGTACCGTACCTCAGGTTTATGAATATC